GGTATGTTCTCAAATGTGTGTTTATTAATACACACAGGACATTATTTAGAATTCATCCTTGCCTCATTACTTCCAACTCTAAAATCAAAGCCAGTAACAATTATTGCTATTTTGTTGGGTGCAGAGTACCACACAATCTTGGAAACTGAGGAACAGGCAGGTTATGCTGGTAAGTATTTAACAACTGGCTCCCTGGGAAAGAAAATGTACACCTGATTCAAACTTTTAAATTTAATCTGCATCATTAACATTTCCTTTATCAATCTGTTTTCTAGATAATCAACAAAACAATAAATCAAGCCCTGATTTGTAGTGTCTGTTGATTTCTGAGGTGCAAATGCTCCCACTGCAGCCAGCTTGAACAGCTTGAGAGAATCAATTGTTAAGTTTGAAGGCATAATGGAAAGAGAAAATACTTTATCTGCCCCTATGGAGCTTACATTTCAATGCAAGAGACATGCCTAACCTGTGTGGAAGGAGATCAAAGAATAAATATGCAAGAAAATTGCACACAGGCCAGTCATTTGTACATTCAAACCAACCAACAATGATTTATTAAACACTTGCTATGCAGAAGGCATGCTACTGCTCACTGAAAGTATAAAAACAAAATGAAAACCAGTCCCTACCCTTGAGATTTTTGGTGGTGGGGACAATATCTTAACTCTCTGCCCTCAAGCACATTAGGCTAATTTTTCGTTAAAAGATATTGAAACCATCCTCAAGACTTGATTGACTCAGAGGACTAATGTCACTTCTTGGTTGCTTGAATACCAAATAGCCATTTGGAGCTCCAGACTTGCTCTGAAGCTTAGCTGGATGACCACGATGGGCGGCTGAGAGGCAGGGAGCTTTACTCTGCTAAATCAGTTTGAGATCTCCTCCCTGCATATCCTTGTTGAACATTCTTCTTCTGCTATGGCTAAGTAAATCTCCTTTTGTTAACTGTTGAACAACTTAGGAGCATCTCATTCAGTTCCAATATATACCAGGGGACTGGCCTAACTCAGGCCCAACCCAGAATAATCCTACTTAGGAGGATCTCATACTTAAATTGGCAAATATATACATCACAATCTGAGGAGGAAAGAGAATGCACTAAGTAGAATCTGGAAAGGTTTCCATTAGGAGATTGCAAGTAAACTGATTACAGAAGAAACTAAGTTTTCTAAAAGGTTTAAGTGAAGACAAATGACATTCCAGTCACAGGGACAGCCTCCTCCTCCTCTTTCTTCTCTCTGTCCCTTTTTCCTTCCTCTTCCCTTCCTCTCCTCCCCTTCTTTTTTCGTTTATATCTTTTCCACCTCCCTGGAATGATGTAGATCATAGGTATCAAATTCTCGCTGGGCTGTATATGAGTGTAAACTCGATGAAAATGCAATTGGGAAATGGTCTAAGCCCAACCTGTTTCTGTTTGAATTTGACACATTGACCACTATGAGTTTGCTGAAGTGAAGGAGGCGTGAAAGAAGCTGTGGTCCCCACACAATGTGGTCTACAGTGACAAGTGTCAGCATTGACTCAGCCTGCAAAATGACACATTCCATGAAGAAAGGCAGTCTTCCTTTAACCCTGAAGGTTGTTTTAATTCTAACTTGATGATAGAAATGGAAGGGGGAACTTAGAGCCAGGGCTCAGTTACTCATGTGCTGGCTAAGACAAAGCTGGAAGTCAAACATGACTTCACAGTCCATGTTTCAAGGGACAGTATCCTTCTCATTAGCATTTTGACTAGCCATCATAGCTTGATATATTAATTTCCCTGAAACCATCTGAAAGGCCTGAGGACCTCTAGTCACATGCCTTAAGGGAAACTTCAGGGATTCAGTCTGGAATATATAAAAAACAAAACAAAACAAAACAACTCCAGAATATAAACTACTTCACAGGATACTTGAGCAGAAAACTCTTTCTGACTTAGTATTAGCAAACACAATAAACACAAAGTAACACATTTGCTAAAAAGCTATTTGATATATTCATTTTTTCTTTTAGTCTTTTTTTTTTTTGTGAGGCAATTGGGGTTAAGTGACTTGCCCAGAGTCACACAGCTAGTAAGTGTCAGGTGTCTGGTCTGAGGCCACATTTGAACTCAGGTCTCATTTTTTCTTTTAAAAGGATGAAAAGGCTTCCAGTCCTTCCTGATTGATGTTACTTTATATAAAGTAACTGAATAGAGAAGCTTACCTGCCAACTTACTGAAATGAAGGAAAGGAAAAGTATGAAATATATTTTTATAGTCCTCTAAAATCTTTAAATCAGGACTGGGATTCCTGCTCCTGCACTTTTGGCAGATTTTCCCTCTTTCAGCCTCTACTACAAGGAACTTGTGCTCACATAATTCTTTCCACTCAAGTCAGAGTGGTATAGTGGAAAGAATTCTGGGTTTGGAATCAGAGGAACTGCATTCAGATCCTGGCTCTGGTTCTTCCTGCTTTCATAACTTTAGGCAAGATCCTTCATATCTCTATACCTGTTTCCTTATTTGTAAAATTAATCATTTATTAAGCTTTGACTAGGCATAGGGGCTGTAAAGACAAAAAGATCTTATATCCTACTGGGCAATACAAAATGTGTACATGTATGAGAATGTTATATGCATATATACAAATTGGAAGAGTGCCTATAGGAAGGATATAAAGTGAAAAGGAGAAAGGAAAATATCTGTGAACCTCTGGGTTTATTTTGCATTTTGAAAAGTTGAATTCATTTGGTTATTGAACCATCTCTTCAAGCCTGTGCTAGGCAACAGGTTTTTAAATACAGCAGAGGTATCAAACACTCCAGAGTCCACCCTGAACCAAATTAAAATGTAATTGGGAAATATTTGACAAAATAAATATAAATAAAGTAGAACATAGATAATGTTAATATATGGTTTTACCTAGGCAGGTACCCTTAAGTATGGCTTAGTGGTACCCATTTCTATTTCAATTTGACACCACTAATGTGGAACATTCAAAAGATTCTCTCAGACCTTGAATTTCTAAGGTTGAGAGGTTTATAAAAATAATCCTCCCCCAACACACATACCTCAATCACACTCAGCCATTTTGGTGGTTCATAAAGCCAAGATGGGAGTATCTAATTATTCATAACTGCTTTTGTGTCATCAGGCTTAAAGTACTTTGCATCCAACAGGGAAAATAATTTGGCTGTGAGTTGGGGGATAAATAGCTAAATAGTTCCCTTACTATACAACTGAGAGAACTGTCTGAAAATACGAATGATAAAAATGATAAATATTGATCTACACCAAATGTTCTATTTTTTAAGCAAGACCACTAGGACTGAGAGGAATCAATGCTTCATTTCTTTGTCCCTGAAGTCATTTCTCTGTTCATATGGTCTACACCACAAAGGGAGACATTGTAGCTGTTTCTGAAATGCCTGAATAGTATTAGTGAAACTAACCATGGGCTGTTGGAAATGCATATATATACCTATGGGGATGACTCCCTTATGAAAGTAGATCAGAAGAATGAAAATAACACCAGTAAATCCTAAGCATCAGCACTAAATATTCGCCTTGACCACTTCAGGGCAAAATTATAACCTGCTGCTTTACATGTACACTTGGCACATGAAGAAAGAAGAATTTAGGTCAATGTCACATTTTCAAGCAGAGATTGTGTTGGAGATAAATCCAGACTCCTCTGAACCCAAATCCACTACTCTTTAAAATCAAAACCCAAGGTGAGAGAAATGGAACTCTGGGTTCAACTCCTGGTGCTTACACCTCAAGATACATTTATTGTGCCTATGTGCCTGGCACTGTGCTAAGTGTGGCAATAGGAAGACAGACACTTAATACCAATGAGGCTTTGGGCAAGTCATTTCATCTCTCTGAGATTATATCATAATGTATTAGCATTTATATAGCACCTACTATGTGCCAGGAACTGTGCTACGTGTTTTATAAATATTCCCTCATTTGATGCTGACAACCCTAGGAGGTGTTTCTTCATCTATAACAAGAGTGAACTCGTTAAGCGATCTGAGGTCCCTCCCAGTCCTACATTTAAGACTTGTGATGCCAACTTTCCCCCTCAGACCTCCAAAAGCAGTATTTTGTCCCTTTCCAATATACTTATTTTATTTTTATGCATATGTATATATACATATTTATGTGTGTGTTTATATACATCTATATTGCACACACACACTAGATTGTAAGCTCCTGGAGGGCAGGGACTTGACTTGCAGCATATAGCTACAAAGTGTTGGGCTTGATTTTCTAAATTTTTTAGATATACATGCATACATACATATATATATATATATATACACATATATATATATATTTTAAGGCAATTGGGGTTAAGTGACTTGTCCGCGGTCACACAGCTAGTACGTTTCAAATGTCTGGTCTGAGGCCACATCTGAATTCAGGTCCTCTTGACTTCAGGGCCGATGTTCTATCCACTGCGCCACCTACCTGCTCCCAAAGTGTTGGACTTGAACGTCGGTTTCCCACATTCCAGGTCCTTCGCTTTATCTACTGCGCCACCTAGCTGCAAAGCGAACATTTGAACCCAGGTCTTCTGAACCCGGAAGTCCTGCCCTCAAAAAGCTTCCATTCTATTGCAAGCTAACCGCTCTTTGATAGACTGACTGCATGGATTTATGCGAAAATGCAATTACAGCGCCTCTAAGGTCACGACCCGGGCTGGCCGCAGGAGCTCGGCCAGGCCTGGGCTCAGGCCACTGGTTTCCTCGAAGTCCGAACTGGCTACCGCTCTCACTCCCTCTCCGCTTCCCGGATCCGCCCACGAGGGGCGGTGTCGCTCAGTAGCGCCTCCGCGGCGGGCTCGAGCACGAACGCACGCACGCACGCCCTCCTTCAAGCCGTCGCGCACGCGCACGCTCAGAACCCGGAAGCGGGCGCGGCGCGGCGGGGGCGCGGAGAGGGAAGCCGGGGGAAGCCGACAGCCACGTGGGGTCGGGCCGAGCGCAGGCCGGCGAGCGCGCTGGGGGCGGGCCCTCGGGGGCGGGGCTAGGGGCGGAGCCCCGGCGGGCGGAGGGGACCGGCTCGCATGGGGGAGTCCATCCCGCTGGCCGCCCCGGTGCCGGTGGAGCAGGCGGTGCTGGAGACCTTCTTCTCGCACCTGGGCATCTTCTCGTACGACAAGGCCAAGGACAATGTGGAGAAGGAGCGGGAGGCCAACAAGAGCGCGGGGGGCAGCTGGCTGGCGCTGTTGGCCGCCCTGGCCCACCTGGCCGCTGCCGAGAAGGCCTATCACAGCCTTACCTACCTGGGGCAGAAACTAGGTACCGTTCCCTCCAGCCCCGCCGGCCCCTCCCCCATGCCCTTGACCCTGGCGTGACCCCGGGGGGGCGCCCTGCCGGCCGGAGCCCTCAGCCTCTGCGGGAGGCCTCCCCGGGGGGGGGCGTCCTGAGCCGCGGGGTCATGCCCCCCCCACTTGTGACAAGTCACGAGTGGCCCCAGACGTGCGCTCTTGCTTCCCCGTCCATTCTCCTCTTCCCTTCCCCTTCCCCTAAAAACAAAAACAACTCCTCCCCCGCCTCCTTCCTCTGCTCACTTGGCTTCGCAGGCGATAGCGACCCTTGCGGGGTCCGGGACCGAAACTCCCCCCCCCACCGTGTTGCATTAATTGGTCATTGGGAAGTAATCATCTCCCCAAATTAGGTCCGATGACTGCTGTTGCTAATGCCTACTGCGCTAATGTCCGGTTCCTAGTCCCCAGTAATAAGCCTCTTAGAAAACCTAATAGAATTTTACATCTGTTAGTTAAAAAAAAATCGTCTCCAAAGAGAAAGGTCTCAGAAATAGGAACTGAAAAAAGAAAAAAAAACCCTCATGACCTCAGCTTGCTCTCCCCACCAGTGTAGCATCTGGGGGTGGCAGGACCCTGGAGGTGGGATGGGGTCTCTTTTCCTCCTTCCACTCCTGCACCCTTGTCCTAAGTGGCCCCAGATGTTCCTTTCATCACTCATTGCCTTCTTTTGCTTTACTTTCCATCTTCCTTGCTTATGTTATTCGTCATCGAAGATGAGTAACGATTGTTATTACCCTATACATGTTAAATTCCAACCCTTAATTTTTCTTAGAATTTGAGTCACTGGCCTTGTTTTTCAGTCTAATAAGTACACAGTCTGAGTGGTGACTATGAAGGACTAGGCTCTTGAGTAAATAATTACTATCAGGTTAATGGCCCAGTTTTTTTATTTTTCCCCTACTAGCGCCTGTCTCATCTTGATCATAGAGCTTTTAAGGTGGACACGTGGGGCGGGACCTTCTGAAATTTTAACATGAATCCTGTAGCAGTGATTCAAATACAAGGAAAGTTGAAAATTCGGATATGGAATCATTGGCACCAGTGATCAAATAATTTATGTATGTTTTTAACTCTCTTCCCCCTTTTAATTCCAAGCATATTACATATTAGGCAGCTGTTTTGTGGGAGCTCAGAGTATAAATTTATCTCTTATGTTTGCAGTTTTCTGTAGGGGTATGGTTATCATCACAAATGAGAAAACTGCCAAAACCAGAAACTAAGTGTGTAAATTGGGTTCCATCCACATAATGACATCATATAGTCTCCCTTTGGCAAAAACATCACAAGTCATGATGAAGTTGTCCTTGCCAAAGTAAAACCGTCTACTTGTGCCTTTAATCTTTTCCCCCACTTGGTTCCCCCTCCCCCATCTCCTTTCCTCTCTAGGTACTTGCCCCTTCAGTCTTCCCATTCCATACCTGATTTTCAAACTGTTCTTTATACCTATTGCCTGCAAAATCTCTCCTATCCTTTAAAAAAAAAATCTTCACGGTTTACCCCTCCCCCACTCACCACTCCCTCCAGTCAGTCTCTATATATTTTCCCCCTTTCACAGCAAAACTCCTAGGGAAAAAAAAAGAACTGTCTAGTCCAAAGGTGATTCAGTGAAAGGGCCCCGCTTGAGGAACCAGAGGACCACATGTGGCCTTGAGGCAACAGTTTCCTCACCCCTGGTCTCATCCATGCCTCCACTTTTCTCACCTCTCACTTCTCAAACCTTTGCAATTTGGCTTCTGCCCCAGTTATTTGACTGAAACAGTTCTGTCAAGATTGCCAAACATATGTTGTTTGCTAAATACAATGGACTTTTCTCAGTGCTCATCCTTCTTGAAGTCTTTGCAGCTTTTGACACAATTTAACACTTTGAATCTGTCCCGCTAGCTTTGCTATTTGTACTGAGGATTCCACCATTCGTTAGTCACTCAGGTGCAAAGCCTCAGAGCTATCCTTGCCTCCTCTGTCTCCTTTATATCTCATAGCCAGTCAGATGCCAAGCCTTGGCCATTTACGTCCTCCGCATTTAGGCCTTCATCAACTCTCACCTGGACTGTTTGTTAGTATAGGCTTCGAATTGGCGGTCTTCCTACCTCCCATTCTCTTCCCTTTCCAACCTATCTTCCATGTAGCTGCCATATTGTTATTACTAAAGCCCAAGTCGGACCATGTCCCTCCCTATCTCAAGAAGCTTCATCTGGCATTTAATACTCTTCACGGTCTGGCTCTAACCTACGTTTCTAGACTGATTTCACATTATTCCCACTTTTACTTGAAATAGTAAAACTTGAGGTTCATGACACCACCCATATACAACCTTCTGTTTTCTACTTCTGTGCTTTGTATTGGCTTACCAAGAATGTACTCTCTCCACAGATTTTCTAATGCCCAGCTTTGTTCACAAGGAACTGTAGGATAGGCGGGACTTGGGACAAGAATATATATTTATGTAGGTCATTATCAGAGTTTGCTTTTGTTGTTGTTTTCTTTGTTTAGGAACTGGAGCTGATAATTGGCAAGATGGTAAATTCTATAAAGGGCAGACTGGGTTCCAGAACTACCTCTGGCATATATTGGCTTTGTAACTGTGAGCATGTTAGTGAACCTCTCAGATCCCTAGGTACTCCACTAAGACTATAAGTTACTGATGAAATGTCCAGCTGCATTGGGGGAGGGAGTTTCCATACCAATAATTCCTGTGATAATGAAATTGAAGGTTTGGAGAAAAGTAAAGGAAAACTTTTTGAATGAAATAGTTCTTGGGTGATAATGGAAAAGGAGTATAAATGTGACTTAGGATTTGAAACAAAAGTGGACAAGAATTGGGAAGTATTGTGAAAGCTTTCCTTAATTGACTGGTTTGGGATTAGCTGCTTAAATAGGTCATTTCAACAAACAACTTCACTTAAAAAAATTTTTTTTAAATGAGATGTCCTTTGAGTGATGTAGATCTTTGACTATTAAGACAGAGTTCCGAGGTAATCAGTAAAAAGTATCTCTGCCCTTTCCTGAGGCTTCAGCAGTTGTGAGAGCTGTGCTTCTGTCCTTCCTTTGAGGCTCTGTTGTTTTTGGTCTTTTGGTAAGATGTGGGATTGAATGAGAAGATATCTGTGAAGCAAGCTTCTAAATTCATTGACTACATAGAGACCTCTGGTTGCTAAGGAGCTGGTGAAATGTTGCCTCTCTCCAGCCCTCTGCACGTTTGCTGTTAGGCTTTGCAGATTCCCCTTAGACCCCCTTAGCTGCAGTTATGGTTGAATTCCTGCTTGGCTTTTGCTATCAGTAATTTAAATTGTGATTCTTGTTAGTGTCTAATCCCTTGTCAAATATTAGAAGCCTTTCTTCTGTGTGGATTGTGTAGACAGGGTTCTTAGGAAGTTCCTGGATGGTCTCTCTAGAGACCATCTATATGCAGGTTCTGCTTAATGTATGTATATAAAATATATAAATAATGTATGTAAATATATGGTAAAGTTAACAGTCTAAAATGAGGTGGTGATGGTGGGAAGGTCATGTTCTGACTTGCATATTTTACTTCATTTAAAAGTGCCAGGAGAGATATAGTGCTTCTGGATCAGAGGTACAGCCATTGAATTAGATCTGAAACTCAAAGGTGGGGTGGAAAGACTAATTTTTTTTTGGCCTCAGGAACATGGTAATGAGTATTCATTTAATCTTTTATTAAGTGAATTATAAATCAGAATGTATTCAAATTCTGATTATAGGCTTCCTTGAACACTGCCGGAGAACCTGCAGAGTAAGATCTTGAGATCAGGGGTTTTTTTATTTTAGAAACTGGTCCTTTCCTCCTCTCGTTGCTCTTTCTCACCAGTAATGTGCCCCTGTCATTTACCCTAACAGGTGGGCAGTCCTTTTTCAGCAGAAAGGATTCCATCCGGACCATTTACACCTCACTGCACAATGAGTTGAAGAAGGTGGTAGTGACTGGCCGTGGTGCTGCAGGGGGGACTGTTCCTCACTTGGAAGAGCTCCTGTCCCATTTGTCCGAGCAGCTCTGTTTCTTTGTTCAGGCTCGAGTGGAAATTGCTGACTTCTATGAGAAGATGTACACCCTCAGCACTCAGAAGTTCATAAACTCCGAAGAGCTAGTCAGTCTTTTGGAGTCCATCCTGAAAAAATACAGCTCCAGGTCAGTGTAACATCATGACGCAGCTTAGGTGTTGATGAGGTCTAGTGGGCTGCTGAGAGCCCCCCTCCCCACTTTCCCCATCCTCTTTTATGCTTCGAGTGAGATTATAGAAAAAGAATTGTGGGTGTGTAAATAAATATATATGTATATATTTTACATGTATGTGTAAAAATGTATGTATATGTATGTAAAAATAATTGCTAACATTTATGTAGCACCTTGTACGTATAGGTGATATATAGTGTAAGGTGCTATACTAAATGCTTTAGGTTATCTCATCTGATCCTCACGATAACCCTGGGAAGAGGTGCTATTATTATCCCAATTTTTACATATGAGGAGACTGAGGCCAACCGAGGTTAAGTTATTTGTTCAGGGTCACACAGCTAGTAAGTGTCTGAGGCAAGATTTGAACTCAGGTCTTCCTGACTCCAGGCCCAGGACTCTATCAATTATGCTACCTAGCTACCAAATATATATATGTGTGTATATACATGTATGTATGTATTTGTGTACATATACATGTATGTAAATGTCTCTATCATCCTTTCTGGGCCCTGGGGGCAACTGTGCACAAGCAGATGTGAGCTCTTACCTGGGGCACAGAGAAATTAAGTTATGACCTTAACAAACATGAACTTTTCCATATATAAAAAATGGGAAAAGAGTATTACACATAACATCATAAATCATTACTTTGTAATCTTAGGGTTTTTTAAAATATGCATATTAAATGTGTTTGTATCCCCTTCTCAAATTTATACTGTTCTCTTCTGTGCATTTTAGAAAAAGTTTTTCACATTCTTTTCTTTTCTTTTCTTCCTTTTTTCGAGTGTCACTATCACTAACCTTCTACTCCATAACTACCTCTCCCGCTCCACTCCCCCATTAGTCCTTCCTTTGTAACAAATAAGTAGAGTCAAGCAGAATATCCACACACTGGCTGTATGCCAAGACATTTCCCATTCTGCACCTCTATTCTGTTACCTCTCTACAAAAAGGAAGGAAACATTAGTCATTATCAGTCCTCCGGAATTGTGATTGATCATTATATTGAATGGAGTTCTCATTTGTTTCACAGCTGTTCTCTTTTGCAACATTGTGATCATTGTATAAATTCTTCTGGCTCTGAAGAGTGCATTTGACATCATTTCAATATTCAAGTCTTCTCTGGCTTCTCAGAATCCACTCCATTTTATGTGGCTCAATAATATTCCATTACATTCATACACCATAATTTATTCAGCCATTCCCCATACCCCTTTTTTCCAGTTCTTTGCTACAACAAAAAGTGCTGCTAAAAATATTTCTGTACATGTGGGTCCTTTCTCTCCACCTCTGATCCCCTTGGGGTACATGCTTAGGAGTGCTGTTGCTGGGTGAATGGTTCTGGGGTATGGTTCAAATTGGTTTCACTGGTGGAAGGATCATTAATTTCACAGCTCCACTGAGAAGTCATGAGTGTGCCTGTCTTTCCGTAACATCTCCAACAATTGTCATTTTCCTTTTTTTGTCATCTTTTTTTTTTTTAAGGCAGTTGGGGTTAAGTGACTTGCCCTGGGTAACACAACAAGTAAGTGTCAAGTGTTGGGTTGGAGGCCAGATTAGAACTCAGGTCCTCCTGACTTCAGGGCCAGGGCTCTATCCACTGTGCCACCTAGCTGCCCTTTTTTGTCATCTTTGCTCATCTGATGGGTGTGAGGTAGAATTTCAGAGTTATTTTATTTTTCACTTCTCTTAGTAGTGATTAGGAACATTTCTTTCATAGAGTTGTTTATAACTTGGACTTCAAATGATTTTCCCAGGGTCATGCAACCTATTTGTGTCAAAAGTGAGACTTAAAGATGGTAGTCAGCTCTCTTTGACGTGCTGGGTATCCTTGAAGCCTAACCACCACCAGTCAGTCAATAAGCATCTGTTAATAATAATAATGATATCCGTGATAAGGATAGTGCTTTGAGATTTGCCGCGCAGTTGACATCTGGTATCTCATTTGCTCGTCACAACAGTCATGGGAGGTAGGTGCTGTTATCCCCATTTCACAAATACAGAAACTGAGTTTGAATGACTTGCCCAGGGTCACGCAGCTAGTGTGTGTCTGAGGCCGGATTTGGCCTCGGGTCTAAGGGACTGTGTACAGCACCGTGTCTACACGGTGTTACCCGGCGGCCTGCTGTTTATGAACGCACCAGGACAATGATGCGCTATGGAAATTCTCGTCCTTATTTAACAGATATTTTTTTTTCTGAATAGCACTCTTTGATCTTTCCTTCGTGAGCCTTGACATGACCCTGGACTGACTGTTGAACCCTAGGGTTTTTTTGTTCCTAGGTTTTATTGATGATCATCACCATTATTTCTGATTATCTCCCTGCCTCTGACAGAAGAGTCCATCATAACAAAGAAAAACAATGAAGGGAAGCCAAGCAGCAGCTGTCTCTGGCAGCGCCATGTAGGCAGCCTCTCATGCTTCTTTGCTAGAAGGATGGATGGGCATTTTACTCTCTGTTCTTTGGGACTGGGATGGGTCAGCCCAGTTCTTCCAACCCTGACTTCCTTGTCAGGTTGCTTGTCTGTATCCTCTTATTGGATAGACTCTTCTTCTGGGGTTGTGGGACTCACCCTGCCATTCATGGCTTTCATTGTATTGTGGGTGTCATTTTGTCTGAAGCAGCAATATGCCATTCCATTCATAACCATCATTTGTTCAGCTATTCTACACTTGATTCTCGTTTTTGTCGGCCATCCACATTCCAACTCTTCCTGGAAGTACCTTGGTTTTATACACAGCTGCCAAGGCTTGATTCTCCTCTTTCCTTCTTCGAACGGGTATTTAACGTTCAGGGTGTATTTAAGTAAGAGGCAGCATGGTGTAGGGGAAGCCAGGAAGGCCCAGTTTTAAATCAACTGCTTTACCTCCTAGCTCTGTGATCTTGGGCAAGTCACTTAACCTCCTTGTAAAAACTCTTAGTGCAGGGAGTCTCCTTCCATGGTAGTTCCAATACTAATGAAATTGCCAATCCAGACCCTACCCTTTTTATTCCTGAAATGTTCAGTAAAACAAAGGCACAGTATTCCACTTTCCCAGTGTGTCTTTATCTAGTACGTGGTATACCCTAATCTGAGAATTCCTTCAGTTAGAGGCTTTGGGATTAATTTAAACAAAATTACTTTCCTATTTTGTCAATTCTGAAAGTTCAGAGCTCTGTGTACTGTATTGAGTTTCCTTAGGATGAAAGATTCGGATGAATACTGCCCTTTTGCTGGGCTCTTTGCCTTTGTGGCAGACAGGGTTGTTTTTTCTTTTTTTTTTCTTTTTTTGATTTGGTGCTGTGCATCAGAAAACTATTAACTCTTTTTTCTTTTTTTGAGGTCTCAGCATTCTGAAGGAGTAATTTACCCTTTGGTCTCATATTGTTTCAGAAGAACTAATGCACTCAATTTTCAACATAATGGGTCAGTTCCTGCTGGGTGAATAAACTATACTCAGAGCATAAATGGCATCATAAAAAAATTCTGTGGCTAGTCTTTCAACTAAGAGGATGTTTTTGTATTCAGAAATGGAACAAACTTGATGAATACATAAAGCCTAAAACCCTGGCTTTCATTTTAAAGGCCTTTCTGCTGTGAGTTGTTGCAAAGACCCAGCCTGCTAACTGAGATAAATTGGAAGCAGATTTTTTTAAAAAATTATATTTGTTTTCCTTGAGAATGCTAATTGGGTTCAGAGTAGAATAGTTTTGAAGGTATTTTTCCTTCTCCCTTTTTCTTTTTTCTTCTTTTTTTTTTTTAAATTCTGGAAGATAAGAGGAGTTGGACCACTAGCCATTCTTGAGAATCATTAGCATCTTTTGTGGAATTGCCTTCCACAGGATAGGAGTTTTAGCATGTTATAGGTCTGAAGTAGGTACAGTAAAATGCATAGGAAGGAGAATTATTCTAATTCAGCCCTTGCTGGATAAGCATGTCTCTTTTTTTAATAAGATACATTCCTAATAGGACAGGGAGATGATGTGAGTTGTTTCTTTTTTTTTTTTTAAGTGGTAGCAATAGATGTTTTTCCTAATCCAGTGGTAGTTAGCTTTGAATATATTAACCTGGTTCTATAATATACGATGAGCACAAAACAATACCTGATAATTTTTTCTGTTCTGTGCCCAGTAAAAAAAATAATTAATCTTGGAAAATACATAAATACTTAAATGGATCTGGGATCTTATGGATTCAGAAGGTCCCTCCATTGATTCAGATTGCACCTTATCCATGCCTGGCCATTCCATTGTCACTCTTGTCCTTGTTCTCCCCATAGTTCTGCATGCATTGTGCATGCAAGGCTCACCTTGCTTTTTTTGGACATCTCCAAGGCACCAGTGGAGTCCTCTGGCTGGTTACTTGTGCTCTTGTCATATGACTAGTCCATGTCTCTTCCTCAGGAATGCAGTTTCTCAGGAACATCCTTTATTCCCGTTTTTCATACTTCCTTGTTGATTATGATGCATCCTAATTATACTCACTGTATGCCTCTTCATGAAAATTAATATTTAATCTCATGAAAAAAGAGTAAGAATATGGATAAGACATTTATTATAACAGGAATAATCTCTTTTAGCATACACTTTGGACAACTGCAGCTTTCCATGGTATGGGAGATTTTATTCAATGGTTTTAATTTTTTTAAGTTTATAGCTAGAATAGAAATAGTATCATTTGAAATAACAGTACTTCACGTGGTTACCATTTGCATTTCAGAGGACAAAGCTTCTCTGTTGGAGCTCTTTCAATTGCCAGAATTCTTACTGAAGGGAAGACTATTAATGAAACAATTTGTGAGTTCCTCATATGTGGTTCAGCAAGGTTAATGCTTACTAAAAAAAAAATTCATAAGCCCATCAGCACTACTGTAGCTTAATAATTTTAGACACAGTGCACTTGCAGCATTTAATATGCATGTGGAGAACACGTTCAGTCTTATTGCTCATGACCACTGTCTTAAATAATAA